AAATTGTTAATCCAACCCTAAGGCGGAATAGAGAAATGTAACAAAAACAACATGACACTTTATTAATGTTTAATGTAGTAACATAATAGATTATATATGTTGTACACAACACTATGAAATAAACTGAATGGCTGAAAAGACTCCTGGTCTATACTGTTTATTCAAAATTGGAAGAGAAAAAGAAAATAATGAATTATAAAAAGGATTAGCATGAATGATGATAAATAAAACTTTAAACTAGAATTGAAAAAGAAACTAAAGGCTTAATAGTGCAGATGTATAAGGCATTTCCATTATACACAAATAAAATACATCGATGGGAAATTAGTATTTATAGGCTATTGAAAAATGTATCTTCCTTTCTGAAAAAATTAAAACTGAGAACAATTTACTTACCCAAGCTCTGTCATACCATCTAGAAATTCCTTTTTGCTAAATTCACACTGAGTGGCAGCCCTGAATTTCCATGCTATGACCAGAACGCTGATACTGGCAGGATCTAGGTTTAAATCATCACAAAACTGCTGAATCCCATCAATTCCAATTTTGTTTTCATCTTGTGGATCTGTAGTTAAAATTGGGGGAGGAAGTTATACTACTTTGAAAAGTGATCCTAAAATAGGTGATTAGGATCATACCAGTCTATTACACAGTTCTAGCTACAGTGTGTCAGATACATTAATCAAATGACTACAGTTTTCTACATAATAAATAGTGAGGAACAAAATAACCCATAAAACAGTCCTACCTTTAAAACCTAGGTTTGTGGGTTTTAAGGAAGGAAAAATCATTGAAACTTCTTTGAGGAGACTTCATCATTAAGAAATGACTTCACCAGGTGAGGTGGCACATGCTTGTAATCCAAGTTACTTGGGAAGCTGAAGTAGGAGGGTTACAAATTCAAGGCCAGCCTGGGCAACTTACAAAGTAAGCATTACAAAGTGCTGGGGCTCTGGGTTTGATCCCTAGCAATACAAAATGTAACTCTTGGCTACCCTCCTGCGTCAATCTCCCAAGCACTGGATTTACAGGCATGTGCCACCATACCTGGCCAAACATTTTAAATATGCTAAACAATTTCCAGTTTTTGAAAACTACACTGAATACAAACCTTTTTTTTTTTTTTTTAAGCTACATGGTATGTTTCTGAACAAAGGTTTTTAAAGAATGCAACATTTAAGGAAAAAGTAAACAGTGTTTTCAAACGAAAATAACAGAATGCAAGGCCAAGGAAATGATCTGTTGGATCTAATATCTGTTTAAATGAAAGTTTTAAGTTTTAGACACTACTACACATATGGGGCAGGCTGACGATGGCCCTTATACAATTGGTCTCATGATGCTGTAGTGCTCTACAACAACAAATATTTCAGCCTAAATAGAAATGCTGGGGGAAAAAATACTGTGTTATCAGGTATAGGAATGGCCGAGACACCAGCCTCTTACGGTTTAGATTACGGCAATGGTGAACCTTTTAGAGGTTTCAATTGACACAGGGCCCCCTGAGGCGCACATGTCATAGGTTCTCCACCACTGGTTTAGAACCAAAATGTTCCCCAAAAGCCTCATATGCAGAGGTGGAGCGAGGTGGAAAGGGGGCAGGTAACTGAGGGAGTGACCTAGAAGGGTGTATTCTTTTCTCAACTCTGCCCTTGTCTCTCTGCTTCTGGCTGCCATGATGTGAGCAGTTTTCCACTTCCAGGTCCTTCCCCCACGATGCTTCTACTTCAGAGCCAGCCAACCATGGACTGAAGCCACCGAAACTATAAGCCAAAACAAACCTCTCTTCCTCTGAAGTTGCGGGTGTCAGGTATTTTGTCCTAGTGACAGGAAAGGTGCTAATATAGTTTCTAAACAGGGACACTTCCTTCTAATTTTTGTTAAAATGTCATACTCATTGCACAGAACAAGTGTTAGGTGAGGAACAGCTCCGGATCACCTTCCCTCACCCCCAGTTTCTTTATTGAAGAAATGGGGTTCTGGAGCTGAACTCAAAAGGAGCAGCAGCTTGGAGACCTTTTATCCATGGGAAAAGAAGTTCTACACGCACTCTTGTGATAGTTAATTATAACTGGCATCTCGACTGGCTTGGGAGCTGCCCAAGGGATTAGTAAAGCACAGTTCTGGATGTGTCTGGGTGGGTCAAGGAAGCATGACTTTGGGGTCCACATCTGGTCCCTGGACACTTCCCCTGGGGTACCCTTCTGTGCACTGGATCCTGGCTGCCATGAAGGGAGATTTGCTCCACACCCTTCTACCATGACAGACCTATCTTGGAGCGAGTTGAAATGAGTCCATGTTGAGACAGGGAATGAATCCTCTGAAACTGTGAGCCACAATAAGCCTCTCCTTTTGTGAGAGGTCGTCTTGGGACGTGCTGTTCTCCTCCTGATGATCACGGGACTGACTCCCAGGTCCTTGGCGTGCCAGGATCGGGTCAGCATGCTGAGAACTGGGGCGGAGGGCACACAGGCCCTTGAGACACTCTCTGCTGCCTGAGAAAGTAGAGGAGAGCCTATCTATACATCATTAGCAAGGCCGCAGTGTTTTTTAAACATCTGCCTAGAGCAGGATCCGTTCCCAGCAACCATTTCAGCCTTGCAGCTGCGTGTGCTTGCTTGCTTAGCTGCCTGTTGACGACAGTATAAAATGTACTCGTGTCAGAGAATAAAGGCCCTTGGTCTCCTACGGCTCTGGGTCCCCAGGTCCCGCTTTGCTTTCTTCTCGTCGCACAGCCTTCAAGTGCCTGTCTCTCTTCGAGGAGAGCCCACATCCTCTAAGTCGTGGGTGTTGGGGATCGTGCTGTGAGATGAAAAGCTAACACAATGCTCTTCCCTCTGGTTACCAGAGACAGTGTGTGGCCTGGCTTTCTTGCCATGTGTCCCTTACCTTTGTACCTGCCATACAGCTGCTCCAGCTTCCTCTGGTCCACTGCGTTCCGCATGGATTCCCTGTGGTACGCATCTGGGTTCTGGAAGAAGCTGTCGGTGGCCTCGTCCAGTTTCCACTCATTCTGCGTTAGGCAGTAGATGGCAGTTCTCTCACCAGCCTGAGTACAGGCCGTGAACTGGCGGACTTTTTCCTTCTGAGATGATTTAAGCTTATGCTTTGGGATGCAAAAGAAGTGGGAGAGCCAGTGAAGCGACTATAGGGTTTGCGGCAGTCTCCATCCCTAATGCCCACAGTTTAACTGGACTCAAGGGTTTCGTTGGGTGACTCCACTTCAGAATTAGAGGGAGCCAGAGCTTTGCTCTTCATCAGTTAAAAAGACTGTACAGTCTCCTGAAATAGAAATGATGGCATCTAGACAGTAACAAATGATCGGAGTCTAATCGTCAAAGAATTGTGAGAATCGATATTTTACAGAAAATACATTTTGATCAGTTCTCTGAGTGTAGTAGTGTTTCTTTTTCCCCCTAAAAATCCTAGCACAGTCCAATACCCAAGGTAGGGGCTGATGTTATCACAGGGACCATCAGCAGTTCAGTTTGTAATAACTAGGAGGAGGTGGTGCAGACTGGAAACATTATTAAATTTCTTTCAGTTGAAAAACAGAACCACATTGATGAAAACATACACACAACTAAGACTTGTGTCACAAGTGACTTGGAAAAGTGCCACAAGTAGGCACAGGATGGTTGTCAGGAACTGAGAAGTGATATACTAGTAACAAGAATGTCTGCTTATGTGAGACAGGGCAGAGGGCTGTGGGTATGCAATAAATAACAAAACCACCAAGTAACTGTACTATATATAGCCTGCAATGAAACAGAATAACATCTTCAGGGTTCCAGATACAGGATGCTTGAATTTCCACTTCTCAAGGTAACTTGGAGAAAGCAACACTAAAGTAAAGTGCCTTACTAATTTCTGAATATCAAAACGGACTAAGCTAATGGTTTATATTTTTTTTTACACAAATGTTTTACACACTAATACCCTAAGGGGAAAAGTTTTACTAAAGAGGATTATACTCAATCTTCAAATAAAGACAAGAGTTTATAGAAACATAGAATAAATTATAACTTACAGGGATGGGTAATAAGATGTAGATGAAGAAATTAAGAGAGGGGAAAGGAGAATCAAACCAAATCACAAGATTAGTATAAAGACAGGTGGACCATGTATGAGAGCTGAACATGGGTGGAAAAGCAGGGCTCCGCACCTCCCAGGTGCCACAGCAAAGAAGAAGACATGTGCAGTCAGAAACCGGCCAGGGCTCGGAAGGGGGACTGCTTCTCCTGCCTGAAGCCCCAAGGATACAGCTCCCTCGCCCTTTGTGAAAGTACACGTGCAATGTCTTCTTTGTGCAGACTGACTCCTTACCAAATGCCAACAATACACAGCTGAGCAAGTTCCCGAGTTTTCACTGAGGCAACCCAAATATGTGCCGATGTCAAAATTCAGCAGGAGAGCGAGCTGACACTGTGGAGACATATGGTGTGCTACTGTGCTCTGGGGACCTGGGCCCTTCGGGAATTTCATGACGACAAAACTGTCTCCTAACACTCTCAATGGGTACTCACCCTCGGCTGAGTGTGCAAAACAGGCCTCCAGGCCTGCATGTTTCTTGAAATCATGGGAAGAGGAACACAAAAGACTCAATAATAATACTTTTATGAGGTCAGACACTAAAGATACTTGTAAAAATGTAATAAACTAATGGGTTTATTATTGGTAATTCTAAAATACACATTTAAAAACTTCTCACTTTAATTTCTGATATGGTAAATATCAATAACTATTACATAAACAAAAGTTCTTTGGGACCCAATCATTCTTTTTTTTTTTTTTTTTGGTGCCGGGGATCGAGCTAAGGACCTTGCGCTTGCCAGGCAGGCAGTGCCACTGAGCTAAATCCCCGGCCCCCAATCATTCTTAAAAATATTTAAGGATCCTGAGATCCTGAGGCAAAGGCTCAAACAGTGAACACTGTGGTGGTGGCCACACAGTCCCTAGTGGCTTTTCAGCTCTGCCACTGCAAGGTAAAAGCCACAGTCCAGACAACGTGCACACAAGTAGCTGTGCCTGAAAACTATTTACATAATCAGCAGCTAGCTTATGGGCTGTGCTAACCTGCCCTGACCTAGAGACTACAGAATACATGGAATATATACTACATACATGATTTTCTAAAATTGAGCCCATGAAAAGAAGGAGACAAAGAATTCAAGGCTACATTCTCTCCTAAGACTAACTTTACCTTAGGACAGATATCATATGCTATGGTAATAAACTGATAAACAAAAATGCCAGGATCTTTTTATGGAGTTGATAGCTTATGCAACCCCAAAACAGCCCTCCAATAGGAATAGCCATTGTATCTTGATTATGGAACAGCTATTAGTGCTAGGTTTAAAAGTTCTGTCATGGATATAAAAAAAATCAGTATATCCATATAATAGAACACTATTCATCTACAAAAAGGAATGAAGTAATGATACATGACACAATGCGGGTGAACCTTAAAAATATACTGAGAAATAAAAGCTAGACACAAAAGGCCACAGGTTATGTGATTTCATTGTATGAAATATCCAGAACGGGCAAATCTATAGAGACAGAAGGTATATTAACAGATGCCAAGGGTTGAGGGGGAGGGGAGCTGGAAGTGAGTGTGTATTTAGGGTTTGCACTTAGTGATGAAAATGTTTTGGAATTACACATGGCAGTTGCACCATAATGTGAATGTTCTAAACACCACTGAATTGTACTGCTTTAATGCAGGTAGTTTTATGTTATGAGAATCTCAGCTCAAAAAGGGTTCCAAATAGCACCCTAGAGCCCCCAAGTCTACTCAGCAGAGTCACACACCCTCAGATGGCTGGACCATGCACTAGCATTTCCCCAAAGATGGCTCCATACCAAGACAGCGTGGACGTGTGGATGACCGGTACCTGAACTATTATTACTCAGGAGGATCACCTCTGCATTGCCGCCCATGTGAGATGTGACAGCTAAATCCACAGTGCACAGTGCCTACATGGAGACAGAGGTGCATGGATCCAGGCCACACAAAGTGGCTCAGGATCATTTCTATTTAGTTACCAAGGGGGTAGAAGTGGAGACAAAGAAACAAGCAGATCCCTCTCCCCCAACCCTGGAGCCACGAGGGTGCCAAGGTGCTGATTTGGCATGAGCACAGCAGCCCTGAAAGGAGAGTGTGGAGGCTGTCAACAAAGCTGCATAATTTGATGTCAGCTGTGATTAAAACAATAATCAACAGCTAGGTCTAAAGAGCATGTGTACTTGGTGTCCAAAAGTGACTAGAGACGTAGGTTCAACTGGTAGGAAAGAGAAGTGGCATAAAACATCAAAGGAAAAAAAGGCTCACAGACTATAAAACTTGAAGGAAGACTGGGACAGTGGAGAACACCGGTAATCCCAGCACTTAGGAACCTGAGGGAAGAGAATCGTGGAAGTTCAAGGCCAGCCTGGACTACATAGAGAGAGCCTGTCTCACCTCCTCTTACCCCAATTTAAGGAGAAAGAAGAGAGCTCTGAATCCATCAGATGCAAAATCCATGCAAAATTAACCAGGGTCTACAAACTGGCAGGACCAGAGGACTACCCGTCAAGGGCTGACAATCTCCTCTGAGGCTTACCATGTTATGGAAACTGAAAAATATTAAAGGATAGCATTTTCTACGTTTTGTTACTTGTTAAAATATACAAAATTCTAGGGTGGGGATAGAGCTCAGTGGTGCCGCCACCTGCCTCGAAAGCACAAGGTCCTGAGTTTGATCCCCGGTACCAAAAAACCCCCAAAATCCTTGAAATGAAAATCTTGGTAGTCTCCTGGAAACATCAAATAAAAACCAACCAACAGCCTCAAACATTTCAACTGTGACCTTGCGAAAAGTCACTGATAAAATCCATGCACCCAAAATATCTTTATACTGTACAAGAATTTTCAAAGAACTCTTAAAACGTCCTTACAAGGACATTTAATAGAACAAGATCCCTTCCCAGGGTCAACTTACGAGGGATGACAGGGCAACAATTAGGGTCAAATAAACTACATGGTCTTGTAGATCACTTTGACTCTGTTTTGGGATAGCGCAGGCTCCACGAAGCCGGGGGTTAATCAGCAGGCATAAATGAGCGGGGAGTTAAGGCAAACACCCCAGTTCATGCTTCAGGATCTTTAACCTCTGCACGTTTAAAGCTTTTCCGAGGTTAGTTCTGTGCACCTTGGGCTGGAGCGGGGTCTACCTGGCAGGTGTGTGGCTGGGCCCCGCCTCCGCGGCGAGCCCCCCCATCCGCCCGGTCTCTAGGCCGCAGCTTCTAGCTTTCGGGTCTCTCATCCGGTCTCCAGGCACCCTCCGCTCTCCTCCGGCCGCGCTCCGGGACGAGCCGGCACAGCGAGCACAGAGGGCGCCCGGGTACTCGCTTCCTCCCCAGCTCCAGCTCCCGTTCCCTCGGGCCCCAGCGCGGCCCCTCTCCCCGAGGCTGCCCGGCCTCGCCCATGTCCACAGGAGGGCAGCACCCTCCAACCACCGCGCCCTACACCCTTCCCGGAGCGGTGCCGCAGCCTGCAGCCGCCGCAGAGCCGGGAGCAGCCTGCGGCGAGCGCGACGTCGTCACCTACCATGCTCGCCCGCACCTCCGCGGCCCTCGGCCGTCTCTGCGCAGGCGTCCGCGTCCCCGGGCCCGCTGCTCCCAGAGGTCGGGGCACCCGCCTATGCTCAGGCTCCCGGCCTGCACCGCGCCGCCACGGCCCCTTAGGTCGACACACGCCGCCTCTGGAAGGGGCTAGGACCCCTCTTCGAGGGCGGATCACGGCCTACGGCTCTCCAGCCACGCGACGCTAGAAAGGGCTCCTGGGACGAGGCGGAAGCTCGGCTGGTCCGCGGAACTCCAGCTCCCAGCATGCACGGCGCCTCGCGGAGGCCTTCGGGACCACCCCGCCCTCTTAAAGGGGCCGCGCCTCTTTTCCCGGAGCGCAGCACTGGAGACCGCAAGAGGAGAGGGCGGAGGGCTCCCCGAGCGTCCGGGTCCCGCCCCGCGGCCGCAGAGAAAGGGATGCGGGGGACGTCCGCGCCCAGCTCTCGGCACGTGGCACCGCGGAGCTCCTGGTCGGGACTGCCGAGGCTCAGAGCAGACGTGCTGGGTGCGGCCTCCTGCGTCCCGGTGAGTCCTGCGGGGCTCCCCTCCTCGTTCCTCCTTTTTGGGGGGCTCCCTTCTTTGGGTCCTTCCTTCCAGCGAGGCTCCTCTTCTGGGCCTCTCCTTGGGCGGGGGCTCCCTTTCTGGGTGTCCTGGCAGTTTCCCTACCGGATGTCTTCCGGGCCGGAGACTCCCCGGGGCTTCACTCCGTTCCGGAACCCAAGACCCCCATTTCTGCTCCTGCCTGCAGTCTCATGTGATCTTGCCTTGCCCGGTGTGGTGTTGATGCACGTTATTCTGGCATCGTTCGCAGTCTCTTTAAAGACGAACACTGTCTGCCTTCCGGGCCGATACGCAGTGTCCTGCAACACCTTTTCTTAAACTGAGAGTCTGGAAGGTGTCAGAGAAAACCAACTAGTTGGCCTTCAGATTTCTAGGTAGCGCCTTCCTCCTTAACTTCTTGGCGCGGATTTTTGTGGGAATAACCAGTCAAATAAGTAGAGGGGACCGGGAAGGTTTGCGCTGCTCTGGGGCTCCAGCCAACCCTTGGGAAGGAGAAAGAAGGTGGGAGTGGGTAGACGCGGTGCAGCCAGCTACCCTGTGTGAATTTGCTTACTGCTCCCTACTGCAGGAATATTTACTACGTCGGAAAGGGCTTTTATTCACGAGTCCCCTCCCTTGATGGCTTTCCTGGCTGCAGCACAAGCAGCTGGCTGGCAGTGCTTCCTCGGCCCTGCTGCTCTGTCCCTGCGGTGTCACCTGGCGCTGCCTGGACAGGTGCAGCTGCTGTGTGAGATGGGGCTCAGAGGTTACGAATTGTCCCACTCTGCTACTTAGCCTCCACTTGGGCATCTTTCTGTTCCTTCTTTGGATCAGAACATCTTATTGCTCATCCATTACCAGTTTTTAAAAAGTAGACTCATTGTTTGAATTAACTAGTGAAATACTTCCTTTTTCTGTAGGTTTAACTTAAATATTGTAAAGTTTTTTTAGTGATTTAAGAATTACTTGTCTTCAACTGTTTTACTAATTAGATATGGATATTACATTTATGAATCATGTACTTCATTTTTTGGCAACGGTCAGTTGTATTTATGGGATTATCATAAGTGTTCTTTATAGGTCTTGAAGTTAAGTCCTCCCTATTGCATTGATCTCATCCTCTTCTTTTTTGAGGTAGGGTCTCACTGTGTAGTTCAGACTGGCCTTGAACTCACTATGTGACTGAGGGTGGCCTCGACCTCACAGCGATCCTTCTGCCTCAGCCTCCTGATTGCTGGGATTGTAGGCGTGGGCCACCATGCTCAGCAGTCTTATCCTCCTTTGTCAACTATCTGGTGCTGAACTTGAAAGTGTTGGTAGTGTCATTAAAAAACTCTAATTTTAAGTCATTTACTTCAAATAATCCTTATATTTCTCTTTTTTCAGGGGAAACTAAATAACTGTACCGACATATTAATCATGTTCCTGCCACACCCACCCCTACTCCAGGAACTTCCCTGCCCACAGCCCAGGCTGATTGCCTTGGTCAATACGTGTCCTTCCCATTCCGGGTGTGTGTGTGTACATACCAGGGCAGAGCCCTGTACCAGGCTGTCCTCAGAGCTGGGATGTAGCGTGGCACAGTCAGGAGAGGGAGTCCACCAGGTAGAGACTTTTTTGTTATCTTCTGCAGGATTCTGGCATCTTAACCATCTTTGGGGAAAGCTTAGTCAGGTTTGTCCTTAGCAGTTTGATCTGTTGAGTATGAGGTAATGGTTCCAGTGGGTGGGAAGGAAGAGAGGATGGCAGGCTCTGCAACTATAGGAAGCAGAGTGTGAGGTTCCCAGCTCATGTCTAAGGGTGTGTAAATGATTCCAAGTTCATGTTTTAAGTATGTTCCTAATCAGAAAGGGAAGGTAGATGCATGCTGCTTTGGCCTCCTGTTCCCTGAAGGGACTGGTACTCCGTAAGGGCTTAGGGCTCTGGTCCTTCTGTGTTCTGTGGGAGGTGGTGCTGCTGGTGCTGCCTACATTCGTGATGGAGCCTCAGAAGACAGAGGGTTAGGAGGTGTCTTAGTTACTTTTCTCATTGCTGAGACAAAATACCTGCCAACCAAAGTTAAAGGGGGAAAGGTTTATTTAGCTCACAGTTTGTAGAGGTTTCAGTCCATAATTGGCTGGCTCCAAGGCAGGGTGGTGTGGCAGACAGGCATCCAGAGGAGAAACAGTTCATGGCAGACAGAAGGTAGCAAAACAAGTGAGGACCACCACAGCTCTTTCTATGAGCTACTTAGGGCAGGTAGCACTCACACCCTCAATCCTAGTGCCCTTGAACCTAGCATTGCACCATGAATCAGTCCCAGCATCACACACTCTAGATCCAGCCGCCTCTGAAAAAGCCCCACCTGTGACTTCATGAGGCTTTTGGGGGACATCTAGACACAAACCATGACATTCTTCCCCTGACTCCCCAAAGACCCATGCATATCTCTTTATGCAAACACACTCAGTCCACCTCTAAGAGTGGCCAAAGTCCTAACAGTTTTAGCATTGCTAAAAGTCCAAGTCTCGGGCTGGGGATTTAGCACAGTGGTTCTGCTGCCTGCCTCACAGGTGCAAGGTCCTGAGTTCGATCCCCAGTACCCCACCCCCCAAAAAGTCCAAGTCTCAAGTCTCTGAGAATTCAGGCAAACTTTTCTGTGAGCCCTTGTACAAATGAAAAGAAAGTTAAACACTTCCAACATTCAGTGGCACAAGATAGGCATTTCCATTCCAAAAATTATAGACGGGGATAGCAAGGAATGAAAACAAAGCAAGACCAAAGCCAGGCGTGGTGGCGTAAGGCCTGTAATCCTAGCACCCAGGAGGCAGAGGCAGGAGCGTCAGTGAGGAGTTCAAGGCCAGCCTGGGCTACAAAGTGAGTTTAGTGACAGCCTGAACACAAAGCGAGTCCTTGTCTCAAAAACAAAACAAAACAGAACAAAAAAAGCAAGACCAAAATCTAGCAGGGCAAACATTAAATCCCACAGTTCCACTTCCAGCATCCCCAGCAATCTGTGGCAAGTTCAGAGTTCCAAAGAGTTTGGGTGGCTCTGCGCCTACGGCACTGCTGGTGATTTGGTGATTGTAGCTCCCATGGCTTCTCTCTTGGACTGGCCCTGCTCCCTCCTTGCAGTTTTCCTCAGATGATCCTTGTTCCTGGCTTCTCCAAACTTCTGGGGTCTCCACTGCACCTTCGGCTTCACACTCACAGCTTCACACACGGCCCTCTCAGGAGCACACTGCCTGGCCTCCCAGGCCTTCTTCTGAAATCTAGGTGGAAGCCTTCCTGACCCCACAACTCTTGCTTTCTGCATGCACATAAAGCCAGCACCACGTGGATGATGGCAAGGTCTGCTGCCAGCTGGAGCAGTAGCGAGGCTTCCTTCTGTCTTGGCTGTAGGGGTCCAGTGCCTATGAACCAAATCCTGAGAAACAAATTCCCTAGGCTGCACCATTCTGGAACATGGTGCTCTGAGCCTCTCAAAGCAGTCTTGGGTGGGGGATGTAGCTCAGTGGTGCTGGGCATGCCTGGCAAAGTGCAAGGTCCTGAGTTCAATTCCCGGTACTGGAAAAAAACAAACCACAAACAGGCTGGGGATTTACCTCTGTGGCACCATGGTGCCTTGCAAGCGCAAGGTCAGGAGTTCCATCCTCAGTACCAAAAACCACAAATCAAAGCAGTCTTTCACCTTTGCAACTCAGAGGCTGCAAAGGGTGGAGTCCTGCTGGTTCTTGTGATGCCCTCAGGCTGTTTTCTCCTGTTCTTTCTCAGCAATCAAGGTCCCCTCTGCTCTATCTTTTCAGTCCATAGCTTTACTGGAGCTTCCTTTCTGGCCCAAACTCAAAATGTTTTAAATCATTCTGCTGGGTTCTTTGTTCTTAACATAAATCTAGCTAGAAAGCCCCAAACAGTAGCCATGCCACCATCTCAACATTAGAACTGTCTTGAAATTTCTTCTGCCAGATTAATTAGTCCACTACCCTTAATCTCAGTCTTAGGCAAAGTCTCTGGACATGAGCAAAATGTGGACAAACTTTCTGCCAGGCTATAAAACAGACCATTTGGAGTCCAACAGCCAATGCAGTCCATCCCAGAAGAAAGAGCCTGGTCTTTACTGGCAGCATTTTTATCAGCATTCTGGTTTTCTGAGCTCTGACCAGAATCTTCATCAAGTACAGCCTAAGGCGTTCCAGCTCTGCTTTTTCAGCTGGCATCTCTGAACCTTTCCTAACTCTTCCCCTTCCCACGGCCAGCTGTAAAGGCTCCTAAACTACGTGGTCAGATACAGTCACAGCAATGACCCCACTTCTCTGGTATCAAATTTAATCTTAGTTATTTTTCTTGTTGCTGAGACAAAATATCTGACTCTCAAAGTTAAAGGGGGAAAGATTTATTTAGCTCACAGTTCATAGTGGTTTCAGTCCATAATTGGCTGGCTCCATGGCAGGTGGTGTGGCAGACAGGCATCCAGAGGAGAAACAGTTCATGGCAGGCAGAAGGTAGCAAAATAAGCAAGGACCACCACAGCTCTTTCTATCCCTTATGTCTTATCCAGGCTGCTTAGGGCGGGCAGCACTCACACCCTTAATCCTAGTGCCCTTGAGCCCAACATTGCACCATGAATCAGTTCCAGCGTCACACACTCTACATCCAGCCACTCTGAAAAAGCCCCAGCTATGACTGTATGTCGCCTTGCGGGTACAGCTAGACACAGCCGTAACAGGAGGAGTTTCTAACTTTGGTTACCTTGCTTTGAGAACCTGTCTTGGAGATTTTTATGCAATAAATGTTATGCATCATTTCTAAGTTAATAGAATAATGTAACTAATAGAGCAATAAAGCAAGAATAATGTGATTTGATGTAAAATGATTTTGAACTACAAGTGTTGGAAGCTTTGTTTTTGGAGTAGTTTTTAATGGTGAGCCCATCTTTTTATTCTGATTTAAGGCATTCATTACAAGTATTTTTCTTCTTTTTTTTTGTACTGGGGATCGAACTTGGG